GTACATCTGTGGTTGAAAGACATATTTTTCTGAAGGGTGTGACTTTTTGTAGGTAAACTTCAAGTGAATTTCCCAGCGAGACAGACTCAGACCGAATCCTCAGTCCATCAGTACAGGCCGAGGAGTAAGAGTAAGGAGGCAAGAAATCTACTGACTAAAACAGAAAAATCTGACTGGAAAAAATACCACTAGAGCTAGTGAGAAAATATGTTTTTATTTATTTGTTGAAGTGAACTGCTTTGCTAAATCCCACTCAAAAATATAGATATTGATTTTTGGTAGTTTCATGCCAGCATTAGTTGCTGTTTGCTTATATCCTCCTTTCTGGTGATGGTTACCTCTACTGTTTTCAGACAAAACAATGATCACTATCATATCTTTAGAACCAGTCTACCTAGCTCTGTGCGTGTGTGTGCCCTCTCAGTCTCACCCTGGTATTGCATGTGATATGCTTCACAGCGTGACACTCACTCATAAATGCAGTAGATCTTGTGTTTGTTACAACTGAAGGGGCAAGCTGCCAAAACAGCAGCCACCCACCTCTTTACCTGCATGCCAGCAGACAACACTGTACCTCACCCAACCACCTGTGGAGGAGGGTGAGCATATTTCTGACAGTAATCTATGAGGACCAAGTCTTAACAAAGACAGGAAGATGGAAAAACCCTTTAAATCTGGGGGCACTTTAACCAGTTTTCAATTCAGGGGTGCTGTATTATTAGGGCTTGGGTTTATGATTAAGATACATTCAGGCCAAACACTGGGAGGCCAGTGGTGCCTTGTCTACCACAAGGCACCACTGGCCTCCCACACACTTCACTGCCTGTTTTCAATTCCAGGTTGTCAAATACAGATGCAAGCAGGGTCCAGTTTCAACTTTTCTGCTAGATGCCATTAAATCCTACACACTGGTAAACTTAGCCTAGCTATAATTTCAATTATGCTAAGTTGTGATTTATTTATTACTAAAATAAAAGCAGTTGCACCACAGAAAACATAACTATGAGTAAAAACTAAATAATCCCCATGGGTAGGGGTGAATCATAGAATAGAACAGCTGTTTTTCTGTACACAGTAATCACAATAATCTATTAGAAACCCATTTTTTTATATGATATGTCAATATTAATCTAGCTTACTACAATGTGTTTTGATACCAACTGGCTCATGCTAGCCAGAAGGCTAATGTGCGTAGTAAAATGACAATGTAATCGCTGATTGGCTTCTTATTACATACTTATTAACATACAAACTAATTAGTTTAGTAGCTAATTTAGTTACAACTAGTTGTTACTCTAATGTCAACTTTACACCCCAATTTATGAAAGAAATTACACATTGCATGCTAGTGCAACCCAGTGCTGATCTGCAAACCTCGCCTGTCCCTCCTGTTCATGCGTATACATGTCTATGTCTACGTACATGTGTCAATGAGTGTGTATAGGAAGGTGTTTGCCCTGCTATGCATGCAGATAAGAGTTGTGTCTTGGCTCCTGAAGGAATGCAGCAGGTACTATACTTTAAAATCCAGACAGCGTTTCCATGGCTGAAGTGGTGGTTTCCTGGAGCAGTGTTGCTGAACTCATTCCTGTCTTTTTGTATTGATATAATTCCTAATTCCTCCTCTTACTTGTTGGAATGTTCATTGAAAAAAGAGACAACAGCAGCCAGTGAATGAGAGCTTGACCTGCCAGTGAGTGAGCATAAATTAACTTTGCAGGAGAGGAGCTGGGATTCAAATCCAATCGCTGCAAAACATGAAGGTTATGAGTAGATTGTGTGTCACCAAAGTAAATGTCATTTTGCACTTAAAAAACCTTGTTGTTATCCACCACCTGATTCTCACACATACACTCACACACACACAGCCTGACCACAGTTCTTTGTAGACTTTTAAGTCACTCTCTGCAGATCCATGGCAACCCCTTGTTGAAGCCTCACTGCTTGTTGCTAAGTGATGGGATGCACTGGACCAGAAAATCCTTCCATTGACACTACCTCCACCCCCTTCTCCACCCATTCCTCTCCCTACACCACCCTTACCCACCCATGGACCGCAGCCAAAACAACCCACATACATGCTGTAACTTCTGCTAGTAACATGGCAAGAAATGTTACTTTGGTACTTTGCCAAATCCAACCTGTATTTATCCCCAAAACAGGTGCTATTTAACTTTTTATTATTGGCAGAGTTCTACATATTCCACATATCCCCATGCTTTAGTACAATCTAAGAATGCTTCACAGCAGCAGTATCAAATGGTTAGGTCTAGGTTTAATCAGAGTTTGGTTAGTTTCACCCCAGCAAGACAAATAACTTTTTGATAATAAATAAAT